AATGAAGTAATTATTAATAATCTTGAATCACCTAATCAATTTAAAATAATATCAATTATTTCTGAATTAACAGAATTTAATTCATTATAATAAATAATAAGCAATAAGAAGTTGAACCTCATATATCTCACCATAATATAATAGTTAATATATTTGAACTTAAAATTAGTAAAATTATAGAAAAAAGTATTCTATTATTATATAATAAAAAATTGTTTATGTTCATATATTCAATACTATAAATAAAAATTAATGAAGAATTAAATATAACTAAAAAATATAATAAAATTTTATAATTAATAGTCATCGGTATATTTATTTTTATTGAATTATTTTTTAAATGTTTCAATCTAGGACTCATACATTATTCATAATTAATTAATTTATTGAATAAATACAATTAACAATGTTAAAATAAATAATACAGTTCCAAAAATTAATATTTCTATAATATTTTAAATCAAAATTATATATCTTTGAAATCACAATTCAATATTTTGTTTAAACTATTTAAGTATAATAAATTAAAGAACAATTAATTTACTGGAAATAAGTGTAAAATTAATCTTAAACAGTTTATTATTTTGCAATTAAAAATTTTCAAGTTTATTTAAATTTTTCCATGAGAAATGAATCGATATAAATAAATTGTATAAATAAATGAAAATGAACAATAAATTATTAAAAATAAAATAAATATTTAAAACAATAGATTAATAAAAAAACTTCTCTAATTAAGTTTAATGAAAAAGGTAAACCTACATTTTATAAACATAATATTGCTCAAAAAATATTAGTGAATACTGTTAATTAACCTTCGTTAACGTACATCAATCGTCTGTTAGTTTGAATATAAATTATATTAAGTGAAATTCCTGAAGAAATAAATCTATTACTAATTTTTATGCAATATCTTCCGTATAATCTTAATTCAATTATTAGTGATATTCTTTTTAATATAATTGATCTATCTATATGAGCAACTGAAGTGATTGCAACTACTAATTACATATCTATTTGACATGAACATGTATTACATAAAAATAATATACCAAATAAATTAATAGTTTCACAATAAATATAAATTTTATTCAATATATAATTCGTAATATTCCATATCTTCCTAATTTTATTATAATTGAAGCTATAATTATTGATCTAAAAAATAAAGCTTCAACATGAGCTTTTAATAATCATCCATGAATTACAAATATATGAATTTTAAATGAGAAAGATATAATAAAATAAATAAATTTATATATATAAAATAAATTGTAAATAAATAATAAAATAAATTATTTCTATATAAAATATTTATTATTTCTAAAATATAACAATTTGCAAAAACGTATTCAATAAATTAAATAATAAATATAATAATGGTAATAAATAAATTAAAGAATAAAATACTAAATAAAATGAGGAATTAAATCAAAATTCACCATAATCTCATAATTATACAAAAAATTAATAATGC